TCCTTGCCCTTGTCGCCAAGTGCTTGCTTAGGGTGGTACTGTTGGGTCTCTGTAATTAATGTTTTAAAGAGTTCGGTCTAGACCTGCTCTATTTGAAAAGTGTCCTGAGATAACTTCTGTTATGAATTGGCGCTATACAAATAACATTGAATTGAATTGAATTGAATTGAATTGAATACATGAAAAAGAAACAAATAAATGATATGACCTGAAATTACTGAGTAGTGTCAATGTGTTGTGGTTCACATACACCAAGCATTAGGCTAGCAGTAAAGTAAAGCTGGTTGCTAGGAAGAATTTTTTACAAACATTCAATGCTACATTTTGAACAGTCTATTTGTTCTCTCATGAAAACATGCACACATGTTGAAAACTTGATCTGTCACATACCTAAGCAATGGTAGAGGTCATATACTGTAAACTACTCGGCAGTGTCAATAATGTATGGGCCAGAATCACGGGCCAGAGCCAGGCACACTCAAAATTTCTTTAGGAATTTTCTAGTTATATTTACGTTTACCTTTAGCCAGCAGTTTTAAATAGGATTCAATGTCGCCCACTCTGGCACCAGGGATACATTTAACTATGGCCACTGGCTTCGCTAACCTATCGAGCTGCCAATAACCAGAGTTGGTTCCTCAGCGGGTGTGTTGCTGAGTGGGGAAAATGTATTAGAAACGTGAATGGGTTGGTGGTGAACTGTGGGCTTCTGCCGATTTTCCTTCCTCCGTTCAGTCACCCACTCTCCCTTGCTTCCCGGCTGTGCGGGAACTACCGGGGGGCGGCTAACAGAAGCTACCTTCGGTCGGCCCGCACCGGCTACTGGGGGCTGGATAACTATAGCGGCTAAAGATAATTCTGTGGTGAGGTACCGTACTTCTAATTCACTAAGCCTCGCCTCCAGCGCAGTGAATAAACTACACTTAATACATGTACCATTATCAATAAAGGAGGCAGAGTAAACATCTGGCACACTGAGCAGGACAGAGGAGCAGAGGAAGAGGGAGAAGCCATCGTTAACTGTTTAAATGCTAAAGCAGCTAGCGTCAGTGACAACTTTTTTAAAAAAGTTTGCGATAAGTCGGTAAAAGAAGGAGTAGCTCCGAGTGTTTTAGGTAGAACTAGTCAATGTTTAAATTTTAAGCGGGAAAATAACCGCTGTAACGAGTAAAACAAATTTATATTTAGTGTTCACTGACAGAGCTACAGCACCAAACAGTGTACACAGAGCAGGAAGTAAACCAGAAATGAGTCAGTACGCTTACCGTAGCCAAAACAGGAAACGTGGAGTTGTATTTCAAGTCAATATCTTCTGCTAAGAACAAGAAAGCTATCAAAACTGTGAGACTGTGCTCCCACTTCGATATCTTTAATTAGGGACCGAGCCAGCGACCGCTGGAAGTCCCTATTGTATTTGAATTCAATTCAATTCAATTCAATTTTATTTGTATAGCGCCAATTCATAACAGAAGTTATCTCAGGACACTTTTCAAATAGAGCAGGTCTAGACCGAACTCTTTAAAACATTAATTACAGAGACCCAACAGTACCACCATGAGCAAGACACTTGGCGACAAGGGCAAGGAAAAACTGCCTGTTAAAAGGCAGAAACCTAGGACAGATCCTCCGGCTCTAGGTGGGTGGTCGTCTGTCTCGACCAGTTGGGGTGAGAGAGAGAGAGAGAGAGAGAGAGAGAGAGAGAGCGAGAGACAGACAGACAGACAGGTGCACAGCAACAACAGTATTGGCAATGGCAATCTAGCAGGACCATGGCAGGAGGCTCCACCAGGATCGATAAGAACCTGCGAGACAAGACAGCACAAGAACTCCGGGGAAGGAGTGATGTTAGTAACATGTATTAATGGAACATGAATGAGTGCAGAAAGAGAGAGGAAGGGAGGAGCTCAGTGCACCATGAGAAATCCCCCGGTAGTCTAGGCCTATAACAGCATAACTAAGGGATGGTTCAGGACTCACCTGATCCAGCCCTAACTATAAGCTTTTATTATTTGCTATGTTTCTTATTATTAGGGACCGAGCCAGCGACCGCTGGAGGTCCCTATTGTTTTTGCTCGATTTCCTCTTCTCACCTATTATTTTTAGCCCCCTTTGACTGCATTTTTGCCCCCCTGAACATATACGAAAACTCAATTTTATTTGGCAAAGTTGTCAGGCCTGGTGAAAATGGGGATATTCTATGCGTCGCTTTCGGGTTGGCCACTAGGTGGCGCTACTATCATAAAAAATGCGTTTAGGCTAACAACTTCTACATAGTTTGTCGCGCCACGCCCACTTCCGCCTATAATGTGACATAATATAAATGTCGATAAACTACTTTTCCGTGTTCCTCCCATGCGCTTTGTCCAATTCGCACAAAATCTTTCATATAGCATCTGAGGACCCTCATAATAAAAAAGTGATTAAAAGAATTTTGATATATTTGATAAAAAAAACAGCACGTTATAAAATTAGCACTTCCTATGGATTTTTCGTCAAAAAAGGAAGTGGACCATTTCTCCACATTGGTATGTCCGATTGACACCAAACTTGGGTCCATAGTTCCACATGTCTTCCTTAGGCATCGTGCACAATTTCAGGTCATCCCCACAAGGTGGCGCTCTTTAAAATGAAGAAGTTTATATCCCTACAACGGTATGTGTGATTAAGATGAAACTTGGTACGATGCTTCCCCATGGCTCCCTGAGGCTCACTAAAAAATCTGTCAACAATCCGCCACTAGTTGGTGGTCTGGTGACATGGTAAATTACTGTGCGGAGACCATAATAGTTATGAATATGAAATTCACAGGGCACGTGTAGACTGGTGCCTGCAGCTCACATACCAAAAATCGTGTTTGTCATGTTTGTAGCGCCCCCTACAGGATAAAAAAACAGCAGCCCCGGCGCCACCTTTCACCAATATGTACGAAACTCGGTATGCACATGTAATATGTCGGGACGTACAAAAAAAGCCTCTTGGACCCATACCCGAAACCCCACAGGAAGTCAGCCATTTTGATTTTGATTTTCACTTTCGGTGAACTTTTCGTGTTGTATTTGAACGAACTCCCCCTAGGGAATTTATCGGATCTACTTCAAAATTGGTCAATACAGTCAAAAAATGGTGCTGATTAAAAGTTGTGCTATTTGTGCATGTACATTAAAGGGCATGTCCATGGCGTGGCATCAAAGTCAGCCATTTTGATTTTTGGTGAATTTTCGTGTTGTATTTGAACGAACTCCTCCCAGGAAATTTATCGGATCTAAACTTAACATATTCTGTAACAGTCCTAGCCTGAACACATCCTCACAACTTCAGTATACATTATCTGATCTCAATGAAACTTCACATATTTGATAAGAGTCCTGCCCTGAACACGTCTATTCGACAATATTCAGATATAATGAGAGCGCCACCTATTGGCAACAGGAAGTAAGCGCTGCATGGCAATTTTGATCTTACATGATATTTTAATGTTGTGGTCCACATATGATAAGCTGTCGCATCACACAGCACACCCTGACATGCACAGACTGCAAATATTTGTAGGTATTAAGGTTATAAGATTATCATAACATTATGAACTAATAATTTTGATAATACTGATTACAACATAATGATTTTAAAAATGTTCTTTACCTCAAATTTTAACGCAAAAATAAATTCTGGCTTGGTGTGTGATTAGTTTTGCACTGAAAATGCCAACATTAACTCATGGTCATAGCGCCCCCTACTGGCAACAGGAAGAATTGTTTTATACTGCTCCTTGTTGCAGGATGATTAGATCAGCTTTAATTGGTAAGAAGATGTTTTTAAAAATATAATACTCATAACTTCAGTGTACATGGTCCTATCTCAATGAAACTTCACATATTTTATGAGTCCCGCCCTGAATTTGTCTATGTGACAATATTCAGTTATAGTGAGAGTGCCACCTACTGACAACAGGAAGTAAGCGCTGCGTGGCTATTTTGATCTGATTTACGTGAAATTTTCATGTTGTGGTCCACATATGTTACGATCGCACATGACGCGGCCGCAACACACCCCGACACACGCCGGCTGCGAGGTCCCGTTCAACGCTGCTTGCAGCTTTAATTCAATTAATTTTTTCTTTGCTCGTGACCCCTGGCATGTTTTTATTTCTTTTTATTTATGTATTTATTTTCTTTTTTTTGTTTATTTTGTTTAATTTTGAAAAAGTTGCAGTGAGACATTACTAGTAATAATATTACAGTAATAATATCACCTTCCCCAGTAACTTGTAGTGTAACTACATTTCAGTAATAATATTATAATAATAATAATAATAATAATATAATTAGTTACAACCTTACCTTTGTTGTCACCCCCTAGTGATTTGAAATCCAACAATTCAATCAATCACATCCTTAAATAAATTTTTGTAATCATAGGAAACTAGGTTGGAAGATGGGGACTCTTACATTCAGCAGCTGGAAATATTCCATTACTGATTATTAAAAAAAACTGGATTTGAATAGTCATAAGTCTGAATTTTGGAGAGAAGGGACACAATTAGCAATTTTGTGGGGAGTAGCAGAAAAGTAATCTAACAAGTAGTGTAACTAATTAGGCTACTGTTGTCAGGGAGTACTAAGTAAATCAATATTATCACTTTTTAAAAGACTATTATCCTACTATTCTATTCCTAAAGAAATCTAATACAATTTGAGTAAATGTAATATTCAATTCGACTATTGAAGACAACACTTTACACAATAAAAGACAAAAGAGAAAATACACTAATAAACATGACCGTTATTATAATGATAAAAGTTTTCCTAATAGCACCTAAAGAGATTTTATTTCTCTTTTATTTGTTTTTGTTTGTCTTTTATTTGGCTTTTTTCAGTAGGCTAATTGTGTCATTATGTTTTGAGATGAGTTCATTGTCATTATTTTTGTACTTTATCAGTAGTTGACAGCAGTGTACCCAGCAGAGGTGTCCAACGTGGTGCCTGAGGGCTCCTGACAGCCTGCTAGTAGCCTATGAGGTGCCCACAGTTACAAAACATTACGTTTCTATTTCAATTTCTCAGAGTTTGAACATTGTTGGATGCATTTGGGATAATGTAAGTACAAAACTCAACTACATATAGGACATAGCTCTAGAGTTTATAGACATTGTAATGTGGAAATTTTATAGGTTATAGCTTTAACAGGTAGCCCTCCCAACAATTTTCTCCCTTAAGGTAGCAGTTACTCCCATCAGGCTGGAGACCACTGTCCTAGATCAGTGGTTCCCACTGTATGGGTGGGGTGTGGGAAGACTTTGGGCCCATGTAATTATAAAATTCAGGCTGTGGCCCTGTTTCATACCGCCTTAACCATTAAATGATTCCAATGTTAAATAAATAAATAAAATAAGAAAAAGACTTTGTTCACAGGAAGTAACTCCTCCGTAAAATATGCTTATGTATTACGTCTTCATCCCATAAGGTTGTCTGGGTGAAAGGACGCCATCTTGTGGTAAAATGAGGCTCTCCATGTTAAATGCAGGACCGGGTTCTGAATACCGTAGTTTGGGGAAGGACGGACACCCCAGCAGTAGGTCTGTTCCACCCTAACAACATCGTTCCTGGCGTGTGTTCCCTCCGAACTGCTACTGCCCGCAACCGAGAGCCCAGACCGGGAGGCTCCGCTGCCTCTCCGCCGCCGGTGAGGTGAGCCTGTTCCCCGTCCCCCCCTCCTCCTCTTCCTCCGGTCCTCCTCGAAGCAGAATGCGCTGATCTCCGTTCATTCTGTGGAAGGATGATTTCTGTCGTCTCCACTGTGGAAAGCGTTCCCAGAGGCACGGGCACCCCGGCGCCGAGCCTTTACCGACGGATCAGGAAGGTCCTAACCAGGTAAGATGATGATGAGGGCGGTGATCCGAGGCGAGGATCCCTTTACATTCACTCCACGCTCAGTCACTGCGGCCAGGGGGCTCGTCTTCGTTCTCCTGTTTCAACCTGTAACAGCAGAGCCGTCACATCCAGTCTGCAGCTGCTGCAGCTGCTGCTGCTGCTGCAGGAGGCAGGTTGTGCAACAGATGGTAACATTACAACCACACAGCATCCTCCTATTGCACATAATGTGTGCGGTCTTGCGTTTGAGTGGGGGGCTTTCCTGCACCCGATGGTACTGAAGCAGAGGCTGGACACGGTGTGCTGTTTTGGTGCCTGCTGGCACAGGAGGAGGCTGCCATGGAGGGTTCATCAGCCTGTACTGAGCTGCACAATGGCTGATACCTCACTGGTCTCCAGATACCTGCCTCACTCCAGTCCTTGCACTATGCCTTTGCATTTCTCATGGATTCAGACACACACACTCACACACCCTGTGAGACCTTGGGGTTCTTCATTTCAGTAGTCAAACCCAAAAGATTGAAATTTTTGTTGGCAGTGTGCTGCCCTTTGTAAGGCTAATACTAGTTTTGGTTATTAAAAAGTTGTGATCAATATATGATTGAAGCAATCTTGTGACTGGAAGGTCATCAGCTCAATCCCCAGGGCTGGCAGGATAAATCTGGGTGGGGAAAGTGAAAGGCAGACTGTAGTTGTACTGGGCAGTTTCCAGATGTAAATGTGTGAATGTAATCAGGGTTCTCTCAGTGAAGCCCCCATACATTTAAAAAGATATGTACTAAGCATGACATTTTAGAGTTTGACAAACCACTTTATTAGGTTCAACTTGCTTGTTAATGCATTATGGTGGATAGCAATTCATGAGAATATTAAACTGATCATGGGTCATGACATTCCATTTCCAGGTATTGGGGTGAAAGGGATCCCTGACCTTCAGATAAAGTGGGTCCACAGCCATCATGCTCTGCCGAAAGCTCCTTATTAGGGAATGGAAATCAGCAGATCTTCCTCTATCCAGCTTATAGTTGACTAAATTGAGCGTAGTGGCAGCCATTGAAGAGTTGACATTACAGGATGGTAAACCGGTTAGACCTGTACCATGTTAAATTGGGGAAATATATATATTATATAATATAATAACACATTTACAGGCCCATGATGCTCCAAAAGGCAGCCGTGGAATTTCGGGCATAGAAAGTACTAATCCCCATTGCGGTGGTGATGTAGGCTCTAGTAGTTTGAGGCTGCCATTTAAGTCAGTAAACAGCAACTAAACACTGTCTACTGCGTGTGTGTATTTGTATGTGTGTATATATATATATATATATATATATATATATATATATATATATATATGTATATACTATTGTATATACACACACACACATATATATATATATATATACAAACATACTTTATTCTTTTATTTAGTTCTTCTTTTATCTGTTTTTTATGTGATTGTACTGTATGTGTTTTCTGTCAGTCACTATGTTGTGATGTTATGGAAATGTTCAGCTAATCGTGGCAGCAAGTCGATACATAAACGCATGCAGACTTAGTGAATAGGTTCAGTTCTTGCTCAGGCTAAGCATCACAGTGGGGCAGAAATGGGATCTAACTGACTCTGACTGTGGAATATCAGACTGGGGGTTTTGTGCAGGGCTCCAGGGTGCGAAGTACGGCTAAACATTTTCATTGTTTGCACCGTAGTAATTTAACAGATCAATAGAATGACAGAGAAAACCTGTAGAGCAGGAGAGGAAGCAAGATAAAATGAGGGGAGTGAAAACAGGAAGACAGAAGTTAAGAGGAGGAGAGAAAAATGCGTGATGAGAAGAGGAGAGGAGAAAACAGGAGGATGTCTGGATTTGAGGAGTGTGGAAGAAAGGGAGGAGAGGAAGAGAACATGAGGAACAGATTAAAGGAGAGATTAGGAAAAGAGGTGTGAAAAGAAGAAGAGGGACAAGAGATGAAAATGTGTTGAGAAGAAGTGAAGAATCAGGAGTAGAGGATAAGATGTGCATTTTTTTCATCATAAGTTTACGATCAGAAATCTTAATACATTTTTGTTTCATATTTTCTTCAGAATCAGAATCAGATTTATTGCCAGGTAGATTTTTACACATCTTCTTTCAGTTGAGGAAATATATTATCCTACTATTCTATTTCCTAAAGAAATCTAATATAATTTGAGTAAATGTTTTGCTGTTGGCATAATATTCAATTAGACTATTGAAGACACCGTAGTAATTTAGCAGATCAATAGAATGACAGGGCATTTCCCTTCAGTCTCTCCGACTAAACCAGAGCTAAATTATATTACTGGGGAAATATTGCCATCTATTAAATGATTATAGTATGGATTCACATGTAGCAGATTAACAATGATAATAACTTTTTATATAGCACCTTTTAAAAACAGATTTTACAGTGTGCTTTGATAGACAGCTGTACTACAACATAGGTTAACAAAAACAGGTTTTAAGATTAGTAATGTTGTTTATGCCAAATTTCTATCCAACATATGTTATTTAATTTAAAAATAGTTATTAAGAATATGAATGTTTGCCTCTTTTTAGGTGGCAGCAAGAGTTAAAATTAGTTGTGCTCTGGTTTTAGAATGAAGAAGACAGTGCAGGTGCTATAGGATGATATCTTTCCTCAGCAACTATCATGTTTATCCCAAATTATGTACACGTGTTCTATTATCTCAAGGGTCTTGAAAACTGTCATGAATTGGAAAAAAATCTCGCCCCTAGGTTTGGGCCTAGCCCTGAATGTTTAGAACTTCTGGCTCCGCCCCTGGTTGTAATAATTTCTTGTTGAGTGTCTGTTATTTAAAAATAGCATTTATCTGCACCTTTATTCCAGTTTACAACCATTTACATAATGTGTTAAGAAATTACTAGTGTATAGTAACTGACAAAACAGGTAAAATGTATTAATAGGTGCACCTAAATTATTCAAAGTTAGGTGCTCCAATGTAATGTAAAAAGTTAGTCTGGAGCTCTGACTGATCTCCTGGGATTTTCTGGCTTAGCATTCTCCAGAGCTTACAGAGAACAGCCGGACTGGCTCCAGCTGATAGGAAGGCAGCAGTAAATCAGATAAATAGGACATTACAACAGTGGTATGCAGAGGGACATATCTAAACACACACGGCCACAACGTTACCATTCATACTTTACGGTTCATATCAACTTAAAGGTCCAGTGTGTAACTTTTAGGACGATTAGCAGAAATGGAATATAATATTTAAGTTCTTTTCTTCATAGATAGCAGTCCACCATGTTGAACTGCCATGTTTCTACAGTAGCCCAGAACGGACAAACCAAACACTGGCTCTAGATAGGGTCTTGTATTTCCTCCTACACACTTGGAAGGCTGAGCTGTATTCAAATGGTTGCAATTAGCAACTTCACCATTAGATCCTACACACTGAAAAAGGTATGTGATAAAGTGGTATATCAATGTTCAAAACTAGTTTATGCTGTTTATGCTGCCCCAACCTAAAATAAGTTATTGACACAAACAATATATGGTAAATGGATCTGTACTTGTATAGCACCTTTCTAGTCTTCCAACCCCTAAAATTGCTTTTACGCTATGGGCCACATTCACACAGCGAAGTCCATCGAACAGAAACTGACGCATTTACTCATTCACACACCGATGCACAGCATCGGGAGCAATTTGGGGTTCAGTATCTTGCTCAAGGATACTTTGACAAGTGGCGGCAGGAGCCGGGGATCGAACCAGCAAACCTTTCGATTAGAGGTTGACCTGCTCTTCCTCTGAGCCACAGCCACCCCTATATATATAACATATATAACACACACACACATATATATATATATATATATATATGTGTGTGTGTTATATATGTTTGAAAAAACATTTCCCACATGACTGACAACATTATAATCTGATTATATGATTATGATCTAAAGTCCTCCTTAATGAAACTCTGATGACCCTTTGTCCATGTCTCCTGTCCTCTGAAGGGACCTGTTGGTGACCCTGGCCTTGGGTCAGGTCCTGTCCTTGTTAATCTGTGCTATTGGTCTGACCAGCAAGTACCTGGCTGATGACTTCCACGCTAACACGCCAGTGTTCCAGAGCTTTCTCAACTACATCCTGCTGTTTCTGGTCTACACCACCACACTGGCTGTTAGACAAGGTACAGGTGTGTGTGTGTGTGTGTGTGTGTGTGTGTGTGTGTGTGTGTGTGTGTGTGTGTGTCTGTTTGTGTGTGTGTTTGCGCGCACTACTGTACATAGTAGGGATGTGCATCTCCATCACTGAGGCAGATGTGATACGCATCTTGATGCATTGCCACTATCCGATACATACATACAAACATAATATGCATCATTAATACACCACATTTTCATCAGCATGTTAAAATAGAAGAACAAAAAAAAACATTTAACTAATAGATATCAGCATGAAACTTCCCCAACTGATTACTTACATTGAGATAATTATTAATTATTCAAGTTTTCTGAAATTCTCTGTTTAAATATCAGATGATGCATTATCTAATTAAAAATTTGCTAATTTGCATGCATTTCTAGAACATAAATCTAAACATTGGATATAGTCAGGTTCAATATTCTTGTTTCATTTTGTTGACATATTAGAATCAAAGGGTTTTACAGAAGGAATTTTGGATATCTCTTATCCCTCACTAAATCAGAAAATACTGTCAACAGCCTTAGAAAATCCACGTTGGCCATGTATTAAGAAATCAAATGTTGAAGAAATCAAGATATGAATGATATCTGAACAAAGCCCCATGTAAAAACCTTAAGAATATAGATAGGATTAAAACTGGAAGGTTTTTACTTTAAAGATATGTATTGTAAAATTCACTACAGTTGAAGAGGGTATTTTATTCTGAATTTTAGAAGGAGCCAGTGCAGGAGAAACATGATATGTTTTCCTAGTTCCTGTCAGTACTCGTGCCACAGCATTCTGAATCAATTGTAGCATCTTAGTGGACTTATTGGGGCAGCCTGATGATAAGGAATTGCAATAATCCAGCCTAGAAGTAACAAATGCATGGACTAGTTTTTCTGTATGTGACAGGATGTGTTGGATTTTTGCAATGTTACATAAGTTAGCTGTCCTAGAGGTTTGCTTGATGTGGGAGTTAAAGGACATATCCTGATCAAAGATAACTCCAAGATTCCTGGTGGTGGTGCTGGAGGCCAAGGTAATGCCATCTAGACTACCTACATCTTTAGACAGTGAGTTTTCATCAGAAAATTGCAGCTCATCCAGGTTTTTATGTCCTTAAGGCATGGTTGTAATTTAGCTAATTGATTAATTTCATCAGGCTTGATTGATAGATATAAGTGGTATATATACTATAAAAAATTATAATCCTAATAATGTTGCCTAAGGGAAGCAAATATACAGTGAATAGGATTGGTCCAAGCACAGAACCTTGTGGAACTCCATGACTTACTTTAGTGTTTATGGAGGATTCATCGTTAACATTTACAAACTTAGACCGATCTGATAAGTATGACCTAAACCAGCTTAATGCAATTCCTTTAATGGCAATTAGAAGCTCAAGTCTCTGTAATATAATATGATGGTCAATGGCATCAAATGCAGCACTAAGATCTAACAAGACAACTACAGAGACAAGTCCATTGTCTCATGCAATTAAAAGGTTGTTTCACCAGTGCTGTCTCTGTGCTTTGAGGTACAGTGTTGTTGACAGTGAGCCTGCAGCACTATTGACAAGATGATCAATGTACTGCATTTAGCCACCAGAGGGCGATCCAGATGTTTTTCTTTTAGAGAGCTGTCATGTCGTAAATGGTAAACAGACTGTACTTGTATAGTGCTTTTCTAGTCTTCCGACCACTCAAAGTACTTAACGCTAGATTCCAAATCCACATTCACACACATTCATACAGTGATGGCAAAGCCCATCACAAACAGAAACTAATACCCATGCACACACATTCATACACTATTGCACAGCATTCCAAGGAAAATAGCTATAGGCCTATATGCGGTGCGTGTCCACTCTGTTCTGTCGATGTGTATTTCTGATGCTTTAGTACTGTCATTATCTTCTCTCTCTCTCTCTCTCTCTCTCTCTCTCTCTCTCTCTCTCTCTCTCTCTCTCTCTTTCTGTTATCAGGGGAAGGGAATTTGCTGGCTATTCTGAAGCAGCGCTGGTGGAAATACATGATTCTGGGTTTGATAGACATCGAGGCCAACTATTTGGTCCTTAAAGCGTATCAGTATACTACACTCTCCAGTGTACAGGTAAGTGGTGCAGACCCTTATACCTCAGTTAAACCAACAAAACCTGCATTGGCAGTTTATCTGAATAATACGTTCATCAATTGTAACTCTAGAGGTCTTTTTAATCTGTCTCTTGAGACTCCATTTACCAAATGGATTGTAATACTAAAACACTGAAATACCCTTTTATCTCATCATGTTACATAGTACCCGTAAACTCACATCAGATTGACTTCTTTTCCCAGAATGTGATTTATTTCCTGTAGGTAATAAATCCTTATTACAAATCCAATATTTGACATTACATTGTACGTAGGCAGTGAGGTACTTTTCTGTTTGCAATGAAGCAATTAGCTTACAAGATTTTTGGATCAAAATTGCAAAAAATCAATAGCAGTAAAAAAAAAAAAAAAAAGGTCCTAGAATTGATCTGGTAGTGTCCCTGCAGGACAGGCAGGCAATCACCATCCAGCTCGGAAATACAGGAAGATGATATTGTTGCACACAGTTTGTGTATCTACGGACACATACACAGTCCAACATTTTCCAAGATACCTAGATTATGCCACAGTGTATTACTGTACTTATCACATTATCAAAATACTAGAGAATTCATAACACCAAATCAACTGACCCGTTGCAATTTGAGACAGTCCAAATGATGATCACCAAACACTAGTAACTTAAAAGAAAATACATCACCTAAAACCCAAAACCAACATGTCGGCGTGTCTTCTTAAGAGAATAGTTCACTTAAATGTGTTTTTTTTCTAAAAACATTATAGGCGAGGAATAAACCATGCAGTTGCTGAATCTGTCTTCATTTTAATCTAAAAGTTTTTGGGGAGTTTCCAGTGGCAGTGAATCATGTTGCTGGACCCCCCCGTCGGCATGCAGACCCTGGACCTCAACTTTTTGTAAAAGAGGAGCAGCCAACTGGACGCCCCATCTCTCAAAACATACTGAGATCCTACCAGAATGCATTGCATGGTTGCTTCCAAGAGTGTACAGTCAAAAAAATAACATTGTCTGAACTTAATTAAATCAAGGAAAGTATTTCCACATGATTAAATAGCTTTCTTTGAGCATTAACCAACTTAATTTACTAGGGTTGGGTCAACTTAATTTAATAGGGCTAGTTTAACAAATGTTACAAAACAAGTTAATTAATTTGGCCCAACATAATTGCTTGATTCTGAAAGTGTTAAGTTCACTTGAGACTTGGATCCCAAAGCAAAGACACACTCTCTGGTGAGTGGGAACTGAAGATATTTTAATAGAAATCCAAAAACAAAACCGGAACTGAAGCGGGCAGGTGAGGCAGGGAGCTGGCTGGCAGGAGGATGTCTTCAGCAGACTTGCACAGGAACCAACAGGAGGAAGCCAGCCACACCCCTGGCCCCACACAAGCTCTGCAAGAGAACGGAAAGGGGAGGGGGAACAGAGAGAACAAAAAGAAAAGCACAACAACAAAGACCTCATAAACCAAACCATAACAGAAAGAAAGCCATTTAATCATGTTGACATGCTTTTCATACATTGACTGTCAGCAATTTTGTCTCTGGTCACTAGTTTGTTGTATGTTCTGCACAAAGTGATAAAACCACTCAGGGGGAAGAAACAATTCCAGAGCTCGAAATAGCTGAACCCTAAATAATCATCATGTCTGTATGTTTTTTTCCCCCCTGTGTCTCTGTTCTTCCTCTCAGCTGTTAGACTGTTTTGTCATCCCAGTGGTACTGCTGCTGTCCTGGTTCTTCCTCTTGGTGAGGTACAAGGCTGTCCATTTTGTCGGGGCAGGACTGTGTCTCTTAGGTATTGGCTGCATGGTGGGAGCTGATATCCTACTTGGTCGGCAGCAAGGCCTTGGTGAGTTGGGATTGCAGTAAATCTCTTGTTCATTGCTAAAAGAAGCCTTGCTCATGCTTCTTTCCTTCTCTCTTTGTCTCTTGTTCTCGCTCATCTGTCTAGGAGAGCAGAAGCTGTTTGGGGATCTTTTGGTTCTGGGAGGAGCAACACTGTACGGCATCTCCAACGTCTGTGAGGAGTTCATAGTGAAGAACCTGAGCCGTGTGGAGTTCCTCGGAATGATGGGACTCTTCGGATCCTTCTTCAGTGGCATCCAGCTGTGAGTTTGTGTGGTGGGAGCTAGGCAGTGGTAACTAACAATGCTCAAGTACTGTACAATGTTGAGGTACTTTATTTAAGTATTCAGTAGGTCTACTACACTGCATTTCAAAGGGAAATATTGGGCTTTTTACTCTACTATGTTTGTTCAACAGCTTTAGTTACTATTCAAATATATGATGGCACCCCAGACAGCATCTCTTCTTTGACTGCTCATATTAGTGGCATTGACAAGCGCTTTGATTGCCTTGATCGCTGCTGAGTTGATTCATCCTTTCCTCAGGAGCCTTGCTGTGGTACTAGCTATTGGGTGTTTGGTCTTGATCTGGTTGCAGGTTGGTTGTTGCAGTTTCTGACTGGAAGGTGAGTCTCTCCTAGGTCAACACGCATTTTCTGGTCCCTGGCAGTGTTCAGTGGACATGAGTCGGGAGGTGACTCTCGTCTTCCAATATGAAGGATGGTAGTTCTTGGAACATTGTCTTGGCATTGAAAGGCTTGTTGTGTGCTCCCACTCAAGTTCAGCTGCCAAACACCTCAGCACGTGGTTGTGTCGCCTATCTGCCTTGTGTTAGGATGGTCTTACAACCAATCAAGATGTGTTGCCAGAACTGCACGCTGGGGACAGGCTGGATCCTCTCCTACCCAAAGAGGGCATGACATGATATCAGAATCAGAATCAGAATCAGAACTAGTTCATTGATCCCCACTGGGAAATTTGTTTTGTTACAGTTGCTCAAGCTGCTCACAAGACAATAAAGAAATAGAAATAATAATAATATAAAACGTTAAAAATATGTATTATCTTACAATATCTAACACAATATATATATTAAAAAAGGGTCTGAAATATGTACATTATAATAATATATGACAATATATAGAATATATAAATATATTTATGCTACAGAATGTGACAGACAGAAACGTAATGATTAAATAGTAATGAGTACTGAAATGTTATTGTTAATAGCAGAATCCTTAAAAAATGCAGTATTTGTGACTGAATAAACCAGAATTGCACATTGTCCAGAGTGTTTCACATTAACCAGGGTAACATTTCAATGGCTAGTTTAATGACAATGACTCAGAGTGTCTGACACTTGGCCTTTGACAATGGAAATAACGTGGGATTTGTTAGGTTTGATCTCCATTAATGCCCACTTGATATTGCAGGCATTTGATGCTTGTTTTTGTTGTCATCCATGACTGGAGGAAGACGCAGCCCATTCTTGAATCGTTCCCCTCTAACCACACATCATGATGCTTGGATGATGAGCTTGATTGCCTTTGTGAATGTCAAGCGAGAAATGGTACAGCCTGCTATTATGCCTGTGTCAAGGTGCTGCCAAGAGGTGGTGTTGTCCTGTGTTAGGACACAGAACCGGAGATCCTGGAAATAAGGTTTGCTATATATGCCCTCTGGGACCTGGAAGAAGTTGAAAGCTGTCCACAGAGTCTTGTGAGGCACCACCCAACAACATTGGCAAGATCTATGAAAATCACATGCAAGTCCCTCTTGTCCCTCTTTGCAGTCTGTATCTGATGCCAGATGGCGTGTTCTAGACAGCCTGAGAAAGCACATATTCCTGCTTTCTGCACTGAAGTTGTTGCTCTGCAAAAATGCTGCAAGTCTTTGGGACACAACACAGAAGAGTTGGCTGATGGTTGATAGATATAATAGTAGGATGGTAGAGAAGATAAGTAGTTAATTAATTTAATAACGGAGATTAACTGGCATTCTGTGTGTTAAACACTGTATTCCCAACAAATCTGTAAAAGCAGCACCAATACCTCATTGGGAACTTTCATTGTTGTAACTGCCAGTAAATACCGTATAATGACTGAACTGTGTTAATGCCATGAACAAGTAGATTGTTGTGTTGTTGTTCTCTTCAAACCAGGAGAATGATTTTTATCTCATAGTGGAACTACTTTCCTTGTAGATACCAATACATTGATACTGTATGTGTGCAAGGAATGTGGAATACAACTGCTTTAGTGCTCTTAGTGTGCATGTGCCTGTTGCAGGGCCATCATGGAACACAAGGAGTTGCTGAAAGTACCCTGGGACTGGCAGATAGGTAAGCATGCACACAAACACACAGAAGTAGCCTTATATTACCACAAAATATAATCCACAGGTATTTTTAAAAAGCAGTGTAAATGTAATATCATTTGCTTCCTCTGTGTGTTTGCAGGCCTTTTCTATGTTGGTTTCAGTGCCTTCATGTTCGGCCTGTACAGCTTCATGCCAGTGGTGATGAAGAGAACGAGTGCCACCTCAGTCAATCTCTCTTTGCTCACAGCTGACCTGTACAGCCTCTTCTGTGGCTTCTTCCTCTTTCACTACAAGGTAATATTAAACTGCCAGGAAGCATTCATTTGGTGATGTGCATGTCAATAGATGTCTAGACATCTAGCATAATACACTTGAATCTATGACTGAACTGCAAGTGAAATGCATAGTGGGTAATGTAGGTGATTGGTTGGACAAGGAAGAAGATTTTGTGGAATAAAAAATTTATCTCTGCTGCATCATTTATGAATTTTTAGCTGTCCATCACGACTCTGACAATGTTATAGGAGATCAGTGATAAATCTTTTCTACATTGTTCAGCTTTAACCGTTGCAGTAACAGACAACTGACAAACAAATCTGTTCCTTGTTAACTAGAGACAGTCAAAATAATGTCCAACATTGTTGGAAAATATCATAAACTCACTGAGTTGCTACAATGTAGCAAAGTCATGAAAAGTCATCAGAGAGTCTGTGCCAACTTTCTAGTCAACAAAGACAAGTTTGCAGCCTAGCCTGAAGTTGATTTATGTGTGACCAATACCATCCTGTTTGAATTTCAGATTCCGAAATGGCATCATGTCTTTCTTATTACTCCCACTCATTTACAGAAGAGACTGGTTTATACATGTCCCAAAAGTTACGTCAGATAGTCTGAAGCTGGTAGTGTGTGTGCAGCAGGCAATGAGAAATATATATATATCAATATTTATAGAATTAAATTGATCTCAGGGTACCAACCTTTAGAAAGGATAACTTAATTTAGTCTCATTAAATACACTGTCAATTTGGAAGTCATAATTAAATTAATAACTACATATCAGATCAGTAGCTTGTAAGGGTTGAAGGGTTTTGGAGTTCTTTTATAGTAGAAATTGGCAGCATTCACTCTTGTGCAACATTAAATAGAACAGCATGTATATTCAAAAGCATTTAATTAAAAGGTAATAAGAATAAAAACACACAATATGTAATCTTAACTAAAAAAACTAAAGAACAAATAGGAATGTGAGGAATGTTCAAGGTATATGTCTATGATCTATGTAGGATAATGATGCCCGGTTAGAAAAAAGGATGGTTAGTTCGCATGCAGAACTATGAAAGACATCACAACAATAAACCTCAGTAGTTGTGGTTACATGCAATTTTTTTTTATTCTGATTGAAATCATTCCAGTTGAAGATTTGGGGATGGGATGAGATGTAATACAGTCTGGTGTTTACATGCGCCAACACATTAAATCTGAAGAGCTGTGTGAAATATGAAAACGTGATGAATTTGTCAATGCTTTCATTGCATCCGCTTTTGTTGTTTTAGGATTTAGACTTCTATTAGGTGGTCTTCAAAGCTTTCCAGCATTTTTTATTTGTTCATCACTTTGGTCTATCCTGGCTTTGTTCAGTTTTTTTTCCTACCATCTAGGCATCCATTAATGCTTAGTTCTTTAAGAAAACTAACCCCTCAGAACTCCAATTCAGCTTGTAAGTAGAGGAACATTACTTCAAGACAGAGGGCAAACGAAGCAAGGTTAAATAGTTTAAAGGAGGAGAGGTCCTTTTTTTCAAGGATTCAAGGCTATTATATTGTCATTTACAATGCAAGGTTGTAGAATGATATTCAGATGTAGCTCAATTTATGCTTCTTAAAAAAATAAATACATTAACATTGATTAATGATTCTTAAATAAAAACATTTGAAAAATACTATTAATTTTCTTAACTTTCCTCAAGAAATACAATTGTTTCTGTCCTTTATTAAACAGGATGGAGATGAAAAAACTGTTCACCAGCTGCACTTCAGCTCCACTGATGTAAACAGGGTAGTGTCTCTTTGCCTATTGCCCCTAAAATCAACAATCAGGACCTTGGTTTTGCTGATGTTGAGCAGTTAGTTGTTTTCTGCACTCCACTCTGTAAGATTGTTGATTTTCTCTTACCACTGTTTAAAATCCAGCCGATGATTTGTGGTGGTCATCTGCATATTGCTGTTCTGATATTGAATGCAGTGATGCAGCGATATTTGGGTTATAGTTTCAGGAAGTGATTGTAGTAGGGGTGTGACTGTTTTCTTAATGGCTTACGTTTCATAATAAAAGTTCAGTTGAAGCCACACAATGAATGAATTCAAGATTCAAGGTTATCTTTATCATCTGTGGAGTTCCACTGGTACATGCAGGACGTTGGGTTGAGTTTGGTTTTGGAACAAAAGGAATACCTTGTTTTTTTAAAGCAGAGAGACAAAGCTAAGATCACACTAAGGAATGTTTAAAGTCACTTGTAGCTTCTGTAAAAATTGTAAGTGTACATTTGCTGCAATACATGTTTAAGGCAGATCACTGATGCATAGACTGAAGAGCACTGGACCTAAAATGGAAAACAATAATACATTTTATTTATAGAGCGCTTTTCTAGGAGCTCAAAGACACTTCACATAAGTTAAAAAAGAAAAAAAAGGTAATAAAAACAACACACTTAAATATATAGATATATATCTACAACACTCAACAATGAATCAAACATTAAAAGCAGTTCTGAAAAGGTGGGTTTTCATCAGTGATTTGAAGTTGGATGGATCAATACAGTCTCTGATTTGTTTGGGGAGAGAGTTCCAGAGGGAGGGGCAGCAACGGAGAAGGCTCTGTTGCCCCAGGTACGATGCTTGGTCAGTGGAGACAGGAGGTTGGCATTAGAAGGAGACTTGGAGTGCAGTTATTGATATTGATGAACTGTTGTCTGTTTGTGAGATATGACCTTAGCCAGGAGAGGGCAGCGCCAGTGATGTTGAGGGAGGATTCAAGGCGGGAGAGAAGAATGGTGTGGTTGATGGTGTCAAAAGCTGCAGTGAGGTCCAGGAGGATGAGAATGTTGAGGTGACCAGGGTCTGAGGAGAGGAGGAGGTTGTTTGTGACTTTCGTGACGTTCTAGTATTTTTGACAGAAAAGGAAGATTGGAGATGGCCCGGAAATTGCTCATGGTGTTGGGGTTAAGACCAGGTTTTTGAGTTTGGGGGACAGAACAGATTGGATGGGATGGGATCCAGAGTGCAAGTGGAGCTCTTCATTCTTACCATGACATTAGGGTGGCCATTCGTCCGGCTTTAGGCCGGACAGTCCGGCTTGTAAATGCCCTGTCCGGGCTGAAGGCTGAAGGCTGCGCCTGCAGCCGGACACTCATTTTTCCTCCTTTTGAGAAAATAACTAAAAAGGTCGCCTTTTGACACATTACCTCGTTAGTTTAATACTTATTGGCTAAAAATGTGTGTCAAAATAAGTAATTTCAATGGTTACATTTTCGTGTTGTGACCTATCAACACATGGCTCATTTTAATATTCAAATGAGCCATGTGTTGATTCCCCATGCTATCACAGCAGTTGCTAGGTTACCACCAGGCTGTCAATCAAGCTCTCAGTGACAGAGAACATAAGGTAACATCGGTTGTTGGACTGAAATTCTGAAAATGCTCATACTCATATATAGATAGGTAAAGCCTATACATCTGAAACAGAAGGTGCTGTATTTTTTACCCTTTATCTATCCAGATAAAAACATTAAGAACAGTTTCTGTATGATGTTTATTAGACCTGTGTAATCTGAATTGGAAGGGCACGTTGTCATGAGCTGTATCTTGTATATTTATTATTAGCTATGTGGTATGTGTATGCACCTTTATGTAATCTGGTGGAAAAACATTACAATTTAAAACCGGATCATACCAAACAACCCTGTGTATGCAAAGTGTCCTCCTTTTTGATGTGAAGGAAATGGCCACCCGACATGAAATTTGACAGCTCCATGGGGGAAACAGGGGGAAACTGACAAAGGGGGTGAGTGGTAAGGGGAGGGGAGTTAGGTGGGGAGGTGGGGAGGTGGAGTGGGCAGGTTAGCGTTAGCTTGTTTGGAGAGTGCTAGCACAGAGGTTGCGTTGACTTGTGACCAAAAGCACAAGGTGTCATGGGGAAGAAGAACAGACATGCACCCCAAGAGTAGTCCACAGCATTACAGCAGCAGGAACCAACAGTGCATTGAGGAGACAAGGTAGCTTAGAAGGGCTACCGGTCTGTTAGCCTTGCACCTGCCCTGATGATGGAGGTCAACCTGGTGCCGTGATGGCAACACTGACATTACCATTAAGCCTGGGACATGGCTTACACGGATATTATATATTATATATATTTACAAGATAAGATTTGAACCAGCATAAAGAAGCAGTGTAGAAATAAAGCTTAAGTCTGTCTATCTCTTTGTTGCAGTTCTCGGGCCTCTATCTGTTGTCATTCTTCATTATTATCTTGGGCCTAGTCCTCTACTCCTCCTCATCTACCTATGTGGCCCAGGACCCACGAGTCTACAAGCAGTTCAGGAACACAGGCAGCCAGCCAGTCACCGACCAGCCCCCGCTCAGTCCTGGAGTCCTGGAGCCCTCCGTCACCTACACCAGCCTAAGCCCTGAGGCAGGGGATGAGCTTCCTGTACGTGTAGCCTAAGATGATTTGAAAGGTAGTTAAGTCTGTCAGCCTGGTGGACCAGTGAGTCCACTGCAGCCGTTAGGCCTGTCCACAGTTGTATACAGAGAAATAGTGCTGGCTATACTCAGTCTGCTGAGCAGTTCAGCTGGGTGATCACCCAGGTAGGTCTAGGTTTTCATTTTATGGCCTGTATTGAGGGACAGAGTCTCCAGTGACCAAATTCATGTACCTAAATATGTACCTGAAAAACGAATGCTATGAGCAGAATGTAATTAAATCAAATAGCAAAGTGATTAAAAATGTTGAATTCACTGTGATCAAAGACCGTGAGTAGACAGTAGTGACAGACAATTATCATTCATGTAAAAAGATAGTATTGTAATTTGAATTAATCTGCTTTCTTTTTATGTGTCAAGAATGTTTGTGCATAATCTGTGTATCTGCTAAAGTTGTATTTATTTCATTACTTATTATCTGAATGAAATGAACAATGTTTCTAAATCCACCTGCCTAAATTCAGTGGAAGGCTTATTAAGTATTACACAGACTGGAATCAGATAGTACTGACATTGTAGTGGGAGAAGTGGGGAATATAAGTCTACCCTCAATTTATTGAATTAATACTACGCTGGTATGTAAATATTGCATCAGGGCCAGCTGCCAATTGAAGCTACTGAAGGTTTGTCCTTTTTCACATGGTAGGTATTTTATAGGCTGGTACAAATATATTTAACTTGATATTTTTCATTTTGACATAAAAAAGTTTATAGTATTTACCCTCCAGAATGTCATTCTGACAGTGTGAATAAAGCTGAAAGCTGCAGTCAGTAACTTTAATAAACTCTTTGTTCATATTTACTGAAACTTTCAGTAAATCCTGGCAGTAGTACATGAGACAAATAATCTGAAAAATCCCGAACAAAAACAACCAATCAGATCCAAGAAAGATGTAAAAACGCTTGAAGGGGGGCTTGAAGATAGCTGATTGTTGAGGCTCTGATTGGATGTTTTCGTTCAGGCCGGTGGATTCTTGCAATTGCCATCAGAAGCACTGGGAGAAGCCAGAGGAACCAGATTTTTTTCACAGATTGTCTTGTGTACTACTGTCAGGATATAGTGAAAGTTTCATCAAATACGTCACAAAAGTTTATAAAAGTTTCCTACTGCAGCTTTAAAAACAGCATTTAGTCCTTTGTCTTGAGAAATAGAATTTACATTTGGAGGACTTGGACTTTTTGCTACAATCTTGTATTAGTTCTTCTGTAAAGGAATATTGGTGAAAATAGAATCAAGTCCGGGGGCACACTGTATGTTGTGAGACAAGACTTACACCCAAGTTTAGTTTTAGATTTGATCCTTCCCAGGCTAAGAAAATGTTATACTTGCTATAATCACATCATGTTCACATTACTTTTAAGTCCCTTGTCTAATTGCTCCGAATCAAAAATTCCCCACTTCTTCAGATCTTTCAGAATTTTGCAACAATTTTGCAATTGCAATTTTGCCCAACAAAAAATAAAGATAACGGTAATCCATTACAGTTGCAAAAAAAGACAATCAGATTACAGTTACATTTAATAAAAATGGGGATTATTTAGCATGATTACAATTTTAAAATACATCAGTTCACTTATTTAAAAATACAAGAGCAGAGACACATTGTTGATGCTAAAATTTTTCCATTTTGTCCGCTTCCATTTTCTTTTGGTTACATTGTTCTGTTGTCTTATAGCAGTGGCTCCCAAACTGGGGGTGAGGACCCCCAATAGGGTGCCAAAGCTTCATGGGGGGTCCCAAGGCCTTCTTGATATTAAGGTATGTAAGATAATTGAAAAAATATACACCGTTGACATAAAACTCAGCATTTTGTTCACTTCTGTGAAGAAAGTAAACTAAACGGTCTAATAGAACAATAAATACTCATACATTCATGGGTTTTGCATTTATTTCAATGGTCAGGATGAATTATATTTAATAGTCATTAACAACATTGTACACTCATTTTATTAGGTTTTACTCTACAGCAGAGTGCAAACTTACTGTATGTGGAAATCATCAGCTAAAAAGATTCATAACCGCATTAGAAAATATCTGCAACTTTGATAAAAGGTTGAAAGTAAAAGCTTGTGTACAACAGGTAGAATAATTCCCAAGGTGCCTTTCGTCAAAAACATCTAATCACTGAACCTAAAATTCTGTTATATTCCCCACTAACAGGAGGTAAAAGATAAAGACTTGATAAAACTGACAACAGTTAAAATCAATTCACTTTCTGGTTCACTATGGCACTGTTTTTTGTTCTCAGCAGTAGAGATAGTGTTTATAATTCCCTGCCACTCTGTTTCACACCTCTGTCTGCCTCCCCTCCCTGTGAAAATGAACAGGGCTCATGGGTATTTAAACCCAGTTGCTATGCTCAAATGACCTGGATTTCTCAGAAACAAAATTTAAATACTTCTAGTGGACATAACATAAACTTACTATTGTTACATTATCTGGGAGAGTCCCATGCTGTCAAAAGGTCTAGTGTGTAACATTTAAGAGGATGTAACCCTTACCCTGGCTATAAAGAAATGCAGTCAGTGATTAGGAAGTGACAGAGTGGAGGTGTAATAACTTGCTGTATGTAAGACACAAAAGGAACAGGAGAGAAGTCATTTTGTAATTGTTTTGCATTTCACAGTGAAAATTCAAATTCCAACACAATCTGAACCATGAACCATGTTTCCATGTTAATTGTTTTTAGATGCATTTACATTACATTGCCTTAGTGTTTGTTTTCATGAGATGAGAGTGCTGAATAAGTGTGTGTCTGGTTTTTCCTGCTCAGTGTGCACACAAGTGCACTAATAAGATGAGAAAGGCTGTGTGTCATTTAGTGCGCTCCAGGCAGAGAGCATTATTTGGCTTACTATTTTAGTCCTAATTGAAACACTGTTAAAACATAATGTTGCAAGCAATATTTTCCTGTTGCACTTTGATTTACAAGAGAAAAAAAAACCCAGAGTGGACTGAAGATAAAGTTGTATAGTTGGTTTGGTGTGGTTCTTTGTTCACTTTACGACTGTATATAATTACCTGCCTGATATATTTACGTAAGTCCTATATTATAGGACTTTCATTATTCTCCTCTTTTCCTTGGCTTTTGTATCCTGTTTGATGTAGTGCATTGGAGTTGCTGTCAACAATGTACTTACAATGATGTTACCTATCGTAAAATAAAGTGTCTTTGTCACAAGACCCTGGTCTGTGACCAGTGTTGAATTAAAATGTTCCATGCAGTTTTGGGCCTGTTTTTTGCATGTGGTATAAAAGTGTTATTTTCACCTACATTATTTAAATATTTCTGCATACTGGGGTCGGTAAACAGTACTGGAATTGCATCAACTGGGAATGACTGGAAAGCTAAGACACATACTTCACGCTACCCCTCCAGGTGTGGCCAATTGACTGAAGACCCTCTGCCACGCCCACTTAAAGTACTTGCACAAAGAAACAGCCACACAAACAGGAACAGGAAGACAGGGTGGAGTGGATCAACAGTAATTTGTCACACAATTAATAATCTTACTTTTTGCTACTCCCCACACAATTGGTTATTGTGTCCCTTATCCCCAAAAATCTGATTTAGAACCATTTGAATCCAGTTTTCGAATACAGGTAAAATCAAAGTAATGGAACATTTCTAGCTGCTGAATGCAAGCGTTTCCATCTTCCAAACTAGTTGCATCCACTATTACAGAAATGAATTCAAGGATGTGATTTGATTTTTGGATTTAAAATCAGTAGGGGGTGACAACAAAGGTAAGGCTGTTCTTTTTGGGGGGATAACTGTAGTATTATTACTGAAAATTAATGGTAATTACTACTTACTGGGGAAAGTAATATTACTGTAATATTATTAAGAGTAATGTCTAACTGCCCAACACTGATGAGCGACCACAGAAGATCCGTCTCATGTCATCTTCAGCAATTATGACAAAAAGTAATTTTTATAGGAGTTACCAGCTGCAGCTTTGCGAAAGAGCGAGTGGGAGGAGCATACTGCAGCAATCCTCTGGAGGGCAGCATAACGCGTATCTTCATCTACCCTCCCCGATCTTGTATTAGAGGAAGAAGTCAGTACAGTGCATCATCCATCTTCTGGAAGACCGACAGCCATCTGATCAAAGGGTACAATAGAGACGAATAAACATCAGCCATCATGGGAGCTGTTCTGGGGTTGTGCTCCATGGCGAGCTGGGTAAGTAACACACTATATATGGACAGTGAACACATTGTGTGCGTTGTTTGTGTTATTAGCTGCTTCCACTTCACAATTGCTCATGACTGCGCAATAACACAAAGCCGCAGGCCACGGTGGTGTAAACACAATATAACGTTAGCTTGCTAGTTAACATTCACTGTTTATCTTATTATAATCTCAATTAAAATATCGTAGTTAAAATTGGAATTCTCTTGTGGAAAGTGTAGAACTATAATGTGATATCTGCCTTAGTTTTGAAGCTGCTAGCTGACCCAAATAACTAGCTAGCGAGCTAACATGTCGAGAGGCTCGGTCCTGTTGTTGATGGCGCAGATCAGCGTTAACGGTGCATTAACGGGAACTGATAGAGCATTTCAACGAGCTAATATGTTTGTAGACATTATAAACACACAGTTGTGGATGATGTCATCAGAGCAGGCCGGTGTAAGGTTTGCTGTTGCGACACCGCAGAAATGTAAACAGAGACGAGCGACAGTCAGCAGGCAGCGTTCTATTGCGACATGTGCAGACAGACAGACAGACACAGGTTCCTTCCGGAGCTCATAAATAGAATCAGCTTTAATGATCACATTCGAGGAATTAGCCTGCAGTTCCTTGAACAATTAACAGCGAGATAGAAATAGACATACAGCTAAAAACAACAACAACAACAACAACAACTGAAGTACTGCACGTTAGTACACATTTTTTGTTACTTGATGATTAATCTATTAATGTGGAAAACATAAATAAATAAGATCCTGCTGTTACATTAATGCATGAGTCATATAACAGTCACATGGGACATTTTACGGCTTTGAGTACTTTTACTTTTAATGCTTTAAGCCAAATTTTTCTGATTCGATTTAGGTTCTGTTACGTAACATTCTGAATGCAGGACTTTTTATTGTAACTAGGGCTGCACAATATGATGAAACATATTGTGATTATTTGGACAGATGTTAGTGGGAATAGTAATTTTTGCATTTAATTTTCACAGAAAAAAAATCATGATATGAAATTTGTTGGGATCTGTACCAAACAGGTTTGGAGAACAAGTCATGTATGTCGGGGCATCTCTACAGCACTGCAGTACTTCATTATAATGCTGTATGTCACACATTTTACCTCAAATAATGCAGCTTCTGCAATTTGGATATTGCACTTGGCCATATTGCGATTTTGATCATATTTCAATTAATTATCGGCACTAGTATTTTTACCACATCTATTTACCCATAGTATCTGTCTAATAAGAGTGATGACTAAGTCATTTGTGTATGCAGATCCCATGCCTGTGCGGCAGCGCCCCCTGTCTGCTGTGTCGATGCTGCCCTAGTGGAAACAACTCCACAGTGACCCGACTCATCTATGCCTTCTTCCTGCTGCTGGGAGTGGGTGTTGCCTGTATTATGCTGATGCCTGGCATGGAGGGGCAGCTTAAGAAGGTATGCTGGGTACCTCACATAACATACTGTACATTGGTGCAGTGGCGGCTGTGGCTCAGAGGTAGAGTGGGTTATCTACTAATAGTGAGGTTGGTGGTTCGATCCCCGATTTGCTCTATGACTGTGTGTGTTTAATGAATGCTTAGTTTTGGTGAGCAGTTGGCAGCTTGCATGGCAGCCACTGGCATCAGTGTATGAATGTGTGTTTATGGGTTGAGTGTGGCATGTAGTGTACAGCGCATTGAGTGATCGCTATATAAGTACAGGTCCATTTACATGGTAAATGGACCTGTACTTATATAGCACCTTTCTAGTCTTCCGACCACTCAAAGTGCTTTTACACTACGTGCCAAATTCACCTTTTCATACACATTCACTCAGTGATGGCAAAGTCCATCGAACAGAAACTAACTCATTCATACACATTCTCACACCAATGCACAGCATCAGGAGCAATTCGGGATTCAGTATCTTGTTCAAGGATATTTTGACATGTGGTGGGAGATCGAACCAACAACCTTTCGACGAGGGGACGACCTGCTCTACCTCTGCACCACATAATGTATACCACCATTTGGTATACATGCAGTATAACAAATTACTGAATTATTATTGTGACTGCTGTTGTGTCCAAGAACCCTTAGTGCTGGAATCCTGTAGGTTTAATTATTAACTATTTTATTGCTAAATGTGGTGGTAATCATTTTTGCTGTGAAGAATGTGTGAGGTGGTGCAGATGTTACACGTAAATTTGTGTATCAGTATTTATTTATTTTTGTTTT